GGGGGGGGGGAGGAGAGGGGAATGGAAGGAACCTAAAGTATCTTTACAAATAAATTTAATCTGGGACCACAACTATTAAAATGTCTTATTATGGCTACTGCAGGATCATTAGATTTAAGGTGGTTTGACTTACCTCCATGTGCATTTCCATGCACTTGGTTTGGGGATAATTACAAAACATCCCTATAATGTATTTTGCCCTAAATTACCAATCCCCTCAATCTTTACTCCCCTTTAGTATCGTTTTTGTCTGAGAATACTTATAGTTTGGGAGTTTAGCAGTATACATACTGTAGATTAAGTGACTTTTACTGCAAATACCTAGGGCTAGGAGAAAGTCAGCACTTCATTCTCTATTGAAGTTTTGAAAGACACAACATACCGGAACCAGCCAGCCCCCTGGGACAGTGTGCTCAAGCCAGGACAATCTGCACGAGGAAGATTTTCTTTTAAGTCTCATTGCAAAAGGGCTCAAGTGTAAACAACATAAAGCGGTTTCTTCCGCAGCAGAGGGGAGATAATTCATAAAACGTCTTCATATTAACCAAGAAGCGTCCCTCCACACAGCTGGAAGGGGGCGCCAGTGTAGACACAAGCGCTCAGCCATAGGCTCGGAGGCTGCTGGTGCTGCAAACCGTGGCAGCAGTTTTCAGGGCAAGGCAGGCGCTCCCCAGCCGCGGGGAGGTTGCTGCCTGGGGAGGCCCGTGCTCCGCGGCCCTGGGGGAAGGGAGCTCCCGGGGGGTGGCCAGCCCGGGCCGGGCCGGGAACTTACTTGGTTTTCGAGGCGAATTTCTTGAGCAGGTTCTTGGAGCCGCAGAGGGCGGCGGACCCGTGCAGGGCCCGGCCCCGGGAGCCGCCCGGCAGCAGAGCGCCCGCGCCGGCCTCCGCCCCGCCGCCGCGCGCAGCGCTCCGCCGCTGGGCCCCGCCGGGTGCGATCGCTCGGAGCTGGCGCCATCGGGGCCCCCGGCCGGCCCGCGAGCCCCACATGCTGCAGCGAGCCGCGCGCCGCTCCGGGCCTAGGGGAGGGAGCAGCAGCCGGGCTTCCCTGCGCTGCGCCCCTAGCGGGCATGGGCGGCACCGCACCGGCCGCCACCGGCCCTGCCCCTGAGACGCTGGAGCCGGGGAGCTGCGCGCTCCCCCGCGTTAGCCGCTGTGGGAAAGCCGCCGGGGGAGGCGCTTACCGCTTAGGCCACCTACTGCCGCTGCTGGAGACTCAGCTGCACTCGCCCAGGGCCCTTAGTGCGGGACTTGCCTCTCCTCGCAGGAGTCGTCACCCCCAGGCGGGTCCCGAGTTCCCCCAGCGGGCCTGGCCTCTGCCCCAGCTACCCTCCACCCCTCAGAAAGGGGCCCAGGGACTGGCGGGCTCAGCCCATGCTCCACTTTGGCCCAGTCAGTAGAGTTCAAACCAAAAGATGACCCTGGAGAGAGCTGGACTGCTGAGCAATCTGTTCACTGATCACACTGCACTGAATTCCACCCCAGAGCTGGATGCATTTCTGTAGGCGATGGAGGAATCATCATCATTTCATTGTATCTAATTAGATTTATAAAGTGCTAAAAATGTACCTATCCATCTGTCCCTTTCCCTGCACACACACGTGCATGGTAATAAAGGGGGATAAGGGCATCAGGTGCCCCTTATGTCCCCTGTGCGGGCACTCTGTGGGTCAGGGACAGTAGGCACTGAAAGTCTGCTACTCCTTGACTGCTGTGCTGATGATGGACAGAGAGGCATGTGAAATAGTAAAGCATTTCCTGGACTTCCCTAAACGCATCAACCAGTGGAGCTCAGCCAATGCAGAGAGGAAACAAAATGTTACTGTAGCAAGGGAGAAATTGGTTGGGAAGAAGCCCTGCCTCTGTCATACCTCCTGTGCGCTGCTCCTGGGGTGGCACATCATAAGTGCTGTCCCTTATTATGACCTACAAGCAACATTCAGTCTGGCCCTTTATTAAACATATATTGTCTACGTTTTGCTTTGGAGTGTAGTTTGTCTTGTAAAAGACACTAGAATACAGTGTCACTTTATTGAAGTTTTCATTTCTCTGCTGGGGCACAGCGCTGTAGAACAACTTTAAGGACGCAATCAAAATAAAGCACACCCAAAGCTAGACTCAGCCTGTGCCTACTTCTGAAATTACTCATTTTTGCTTTAGGGCCCGGCTCAGGATGAAATACTCCATAATTTTTCAGGCAAAATTTCTGTTGTGATTAAGTCAAAATAAATGTAAACCAAACATGTTACTTCTACATCGTGTCTATGTGACAGATTTGAAATAATTACATAGCGTAAATAGGTGTCAAATGACAGTTTATTCTTGTTATCATAAACATTAAAGTTTTGCCAAATGCAAGTCATTTTAGGGAATCACTTCATTAGGGATAGGGAGACCATTAAGAGCAGCCAATATGCTTTCAACCATATTCTTCATCATGAGGCGACGAGAACTTGTAGTAGCACTTCCAATGTGAGGAGTTATAATAATATTCTTTAATTTTAACAAAGGATGGTGCCTGGAGGCGGGGCAGAAAAAACAGAAAAAGTAGAGATGAGGTTCAGAGCTATTTTATTGATTCTTTTTATTATAAAGATCTAAGGGGAAACAAAAGTGTTAATATGGATTTGAAATAATTGCTTGAGTCAAGCATATACAGAGTGGAATTAAAGCAGCTGCATGCAGTTTTTATGCAGCAAAACTCCCAAAGAAGTCAGTGTGAGTTTTATTTGTCTAAGGACTGCATGATTGGGCTCTAAGGCCTCTGTCCTGCTTAATATTTACACACCTGAGTAGTCCCATTGATTTCAATAGGAATATACATAAAACATAATGCAACTATTCTCATTCATATATTCACACACACACTTAGTTTACGTTATATATGTACACACACACTCTCTCTCCTTTATATTTTAACTTTTAAACATTTTTTACCTTGGCAGAGGTTCAGGGTATGTCACATCTAAAGCAGCAGCCTTAATAACCCCATTTTGAAGTGCTTCCACCAATGCATCTTGATCAACCACTGGACCTGGGTTAGAACAACAATATTCTTATTGCCATCCCCACTAAATCAAGAAAAACTTGCCTCTGTGCTATAATTTTAAAATGGAAATGGATTTCCAACTCTAAACATGAATGCTGATTCTGGTGTTTAACAGCAAATTTACAAGCAAGGGTTTTATTATAAAGTATTACTGATCTAGATTTTTAAAATGTGCATTGTATTGATGCTATATTCAAAGTTTTGCCTGTTTGATGAATTTGGTGCCAGAATGCTAGACAATCTACATGGGCTATAGCAGGGGTGGCCAACCTGAGCCTGAGAAGGAGACAGAATTTAACAATGCACATTGCCAAAGAGCCACAGTAATACATTGGCAGCCCCCCATCAGCTCCCCCACCCCGCTCCCAGCGCCCCCACCCACTGGCAGCCCCGCCAATCAGCACCTCCCCTTCCCTCCTCCCGATCAGTTGTTTTGTGGCATGCAGGAGGCTCTGGGG